GATAACGGCCGTTACCGCATCTTGATACTTGCCAGAAATTCTGTTGTCCAATCAATTTGATGTTACTGAACCATACCATTGTTACCCTAACGTGACAATATCTAATCCTAATGTCATTTAATAGTTTTAAGATTGCACGGGTGTTAAGCCACGATGATACAATGAGAACATGCTTTGAGGATCCGCGTTATTTGAACCTACCGCCGAGCTCACTTATACATTAAGCCCCGTTACACAGTCATGATACCGCCGAGCAAGCTCATTGCATCATCGGGTCTGCTTTACCCCCGTGAGATTGTGTAAAAACTATTTCATACAATCGTTTATTTCAAAAACAAAAAGCAATTCGGTATTCATTATCTATAACAAATGAACTCAAGTTATACATAAGGAAATACGTTCTCTTATCTTAATTTAAAGACGATCTCAGCTCACAATCACGAAGAAATGACCTTAAAGAAAATACTTCCATTAAAATTGGTTCCTAAATCATGATCTCTATGATTACAGAATGAACATATACTTTCCCCGCCTGTGTTGAAATTGATCTAACTCGACAATCGCTGTCAAATACCATGAGTGCAAAGAGAATCTTGAGCAAGATTACGATGGCACTTAACATAATGAACAACGCTAGTGATCTAATAGGAGCAAATTTATTATACAAACGTCACATGTGCGTTACCATTTCAAATATAAGATGTATATAAACTCATGAAAATGGTTACCATAGTAACTATCGTATCTGTAACCATCACTTAATTAGGCCTAATTCAAATTCAAATAAAATGTCTGTAAAGAGGTTATAGCACGAGATGCGAGTAGAAATAATCCTGATTTGTCATTAAATATTAAAACTTTTTAGTCAAAGTAATATCATATTTGGAATACTAATACAAAATTACAACCAGAAATGTGGTTTTAAAGTTGTTTAACAGCTTTGAATTTTAACTTTAGAATTCAAGTTTAGGGGGGCTTTTCGTTTATCTGCCACTGTCTGCAATGGGTGTCCTGCAATGTTATCCAACTGGTCAATGCAAACTGGTGGTGAAACTGGTAACTACTTACTGGCACCTTGGTAATTTAAACAATACTTTTTGAACAACTATCTACTTGTGGTAACAAATCCGAACACTGGAAATCAAGAGACAATATCAGGGAACATTGTATTTTATTTGAGTATCGGTGATTCGGTAACCGGACAACTCATCCCCTGGACGACTCATCCCTGGACAACTCATCCCCTAGACAACTCATCCCCTGGACAACTCATCCCCTAGACAACAGTGATGCCTGTGATTCATGTTTCGTGAGAAAAGATATAACCTATTGTGAATATATTAAGGGGAAGGCAATATTATGTCAATCAGTTTTGACAGTCTGATACTGTAAGTAATGATCTTGGAATCTATAGACATTTGCTCTTCGTACTTAAGTAATTAAACTTGACAACCAACTACCTGAAGCTTTAACAAATATTGTCAACATCAATATTATGTTTTATAATCGTAATTTTCTCAATAATGACGACCTTATATAGTCAACCCACCTGTTTTTGTATTGAACATTCTATACGCCTATCAATCGAAAACGTACAGTGACTAAATATACGGGTGTACACTTTAGCTGTTTGAAACAAAAATTCTGATGTAGATTTTATAATTATCTAAGGAATATGATGACGTATTTCATGTTTAATTTCATGTGCATGCTCTTGGCAAGACTTTTAACTTTTTAATTACTTTAACAGATTCTCAAGCAGAGCACGAGGCTTTTCTAGGTTATTCTTGATAAATATAAATTGGTGGACAATGGCAATCAACTTCATGTACAATTATTGTACGAATACTAAGTTTCTATGAAAAAACATGAAAGAACAATGTTAGAGATTTCGAATTTAACAGTTGGAGACAATCCTTATCAATGAGTACAGTGACAAAATGCACGGTTGTACACTTTATCTATACGTTGTCATTTTTGAAGCAAAATTGTGATGTAGGTTTTAAAATATTCATCTGGGGAATATTTTAAAACCTACATCACAATTTTTTGCTTCAAAAATGACAACGTATAGATAAAGTGTACAACCGTGCATTTTGTCACTGTACACTGTCGATGGTTAGACGTGATTTAAAAGATTAATAACATGAATAAAAATATTGCAGGATCTCATTTTATTTATTTTTTTAGACATCAAAGTCAAGACTTCAATCAAAAGCATAATTATTAGAAAGATGAACTGTCTTCACCGAAGCTACAGAGTTCAATCACATCATGGGAGATGGCAGTCTTCTATTAGCTCCTTTCTTGAAGGGTGAACCATCTCTTTGACACACTGTAATAAACATTTATCAAATTTCTTGTTTGGTAAGTCTTGGCTGTGCATTTCCGGCCAAACTGTTGCCAATACAGCAAGTCAAAATAGTTCAAGCAATATATACGAGGGGTGATCCAAAAGTCTGGGATGCCCCACTCTAACTTTGCTATTTTAAATATAATTGCATGAAATTTTCAGATAATTAAGATCAACATTTTAACCACTTTGTGCATAAGTTTCATCAGAAAATAATTTATTATAGGTACACGTTAGGTACAGGTGCACCACCTAACCCCATTCATGATACGAGAGAATTTCCGATTTTTCAATCTGAGTGTCATCTGCCATCATGTTTACATCTTAAGGCCTACTTTTCAACATATTTTCCACGAATTTGAACACATATACTACATTGATACAAATGCTCCTGAACTAGTCCCACTCCAATCCTCATCCAATGAGTAAAACTGTACACATTTCCTTTTAACCCTCATTTCAACTTGGAGAAAAAATCACACGGACATATCTATATGGTGCATGTGGTAACTGCTCAAGGTCAATGATAGTGATAATATCTTTTAGAATTCTTTGCTTCATTTTGATTTCTTGCATGTTCTGCATTTCAGCAGCCATCTTGGAGCAAAATGATACCAAAATGAGGCTTGCTTGTCTGATGTAATTTTTTAGAATTTGACATATACATGTACGGACATTGCCATATGTAATATCGTAATTAAAACACAATTAATTGGTTGCCTGATAACAAAGGAAGTAAACTAACATAGTTTAACATTCAAATTCCAAAGAAAGATAGTGGTCAAGATATGCGATGCAAGTCAAATGGTGGCAACATTTAAGGCTGAAAGTTGCCATGTACAAATACCGTTCCGGTCGGCAGGGTCCCTATAGTAAAAACTATCCAGAAAAATACATAAAACAAATTATTTCTCAATGAAATTAATACACAAAGTAGTTAAGTTGTTGGTCTTTATCACTGGAAAGTTTTAAGTAATTTTATCAAAAACTAACAAAATTAGAGCAGGGCGTCCAAAACTTTTGGATCACCCCTCGTATATACTCTGTTCTGTGACATATTTCTGACTTCTACCTTGTGGATGTTTTCAACAAATTCATACCAGTATAAATTGAGTGTTTGACCATCGTTTATATAGTCCCATGAAATATTGGTAAAAAATAGTTCACACTCTATGCAGACTGTGCTATTTTGAAGGAAATTGTTTAAAACGGTGTGTAGTTCGTTCTATAGGGACACATAAGCAGAAATACTAGCAATTTGAAATTGTAGCTGTTTTAGCTTAAACTATGAACACAATAGACAGGACAATAATATCACAAAAATGTCATTAACAAATGATGTTAGGAATTCATACTGAATTTGGTGGCCATTAAATTATTTGGGTTAATATGAAACTTTCTTTTAAAGAGGTAAAATCAAAATATTCAAAAGGATTATATCTGGTCTAAATATTGTACAAAAACAAGAACAATATATCAATATACAAGGTTATTTTATTTCTGTATATATTATACAATATACTGGTTGCTGGGCACTGGACAAATCACATTCTTTCTTATTCCCCTTTATGAAGTAAATTTCTTGTTCATTACTGGACATTCTCATCAATTCCTACCCCAGGGACACGAGGCAATGACACAATAGAGTAGTTTAATAATACCATGGACCTCATACTCAAGAATGAAGAAATGTCATTATAAATGAAATAGTAATCTATGAACCTGCTTATTAGTGAGTTATTAGTCCAATCTGGATTCTAAGTACATGACTTCCCATCTATTTCCACCTTTTCATTATATGCATAAGATTTATTCATTTCTCATAAGTCAGACATCAATCACTTACCTATCTGACATAAGTAGCATTTTCAACCATAGTGTATTATAAGAATCTCAGACTAACTATCTCAAAACTTTTAATAAGCCAAATTAATTTGGATTCTTTGCTTTAAGAAATATTGTGCACACATACCAGTATGAAATATGGCATGTCATAATTGTACCATAAAGATAGAAATGGTGTTCCATATAAAGATTCCATTTGTTTATTCCGTTATTTTTGTTATATTATTCTTTTCAACCTTATCCGTTTTTATCATTAGATTGGGAAATAAGTACCCTGCATGCAGAGTCTAGTTAAACAACAAAGACAAAGCTGTCTCTTAAAGGGGCAATAAGGCTTGTAGAGAGAAAATAGGAAAATTTTAACTTTTTCTGAGCTATCAAGGCAACAATTGGCTTAACATCTTCTTTGACATACCTATTTTCTTATAATGTATGGATAAACTATCAATTTCGGCATTAAAAAGTGTAAATTCAGTTCAAAGCTTCAAAAAGGGGACGTCCACTTTTATATTTTTAAGATCCACCATGTTTCAAGAAAAATACAAGCTGAAATAATGATTATCTAGGGGGTTTCTTTGTAGAAAATAAAAATAGATGTTAGTCTTGATGAAATATCCAAACTTAAATATATTTTGATACTGGTCCATGATCGTTGAATGGCCCCTCTGCACTACTTGTTGCACCTTTAAGAAGCGGAGTCAAACAAATGCAAAGAGTAAGAAATAAGTGATGTTTATGATCATGTGTACTGCCATACAAGGTATAAGGCAGTGGCGGACATTAACGCCCCCTCATAAAAGAATTCTTCTCCCCACAAAAACTGTGAAAGTACAATGACAAACTGACATTTTTGGGGGTATTATTTTCAATTACAAAATTGGGGCCAAAAATGTTTTCCTCCCCCCCTCCCTCTTTGATTTCCAGGACCACTGACCCCATTGTCCTTTTTAACCATACCTTCATGGTTTGAATTAACATGGACCATGATTTAAAGATGGTAGTGCGATCAATGCTGCAGTATTTTTGAAACTGTAAATGATGCCTGGCTCCCTGCCACAAGACCCTCAGTAACAGATAAAATGATGCAATGTGATATAACTACTGTAGATCCTTATGTGTATCATGCTCTAACGTCATCCGTATCCTACACTATACATTTTAACATGTACTCATCATTTTATGATGAAAAACTATTGAAAACACCGTGAATGGCAGTATCATTCAATCATTGTGCCCCAAAAGGATGAATTTCAACCTTACTGAGGCACAATATTTTTTGACTCTAATCATTAAATAAGTGGTCTTATAGCACTGTAGTTGGCCTTATATCAAGCAATTGGTCTCTTGTGCATCTACCCCACCTCCACTACATACATTGCGACACACAATGAGGAGCAGATACTTGATACAATACAACACTGTGACCATTGATGTACGTGCAGCATAGCCTGTGTTAAGCCCAATACCCAGACAACAGATTATGACATCACAAATGCAACATTCAAAATGGCCTCAATTCTATTTCACACGTGTTGACTGTTTGATGACTGAGTATGTATTTTGATGAATATTTTGATAACAATAAATAAAGTGCTAGAACTTTAAGTTAGGTAAGTCTGGTAGTTTCATGTCTTTAAATTTCTGTGGAATGTTCATTTCTTTAACGGCTGATACTGCACGTGCTGGAGCTGCTGAAATGCCAGCCTGAAAACATAGAAGGTAACACTGCATTTACGTTCAATGTTGGATTTCATCACAAAGAATTTGAATTGTACTAAAATGTTGAGTAGTGTCACTTTTTAAGTGATTTTGGCCATTCATTTTTGGACCAAAATTGTCACAAGTGAACCACCTGGAATTTTTCAAAAAGTGAACCCCCCCTAGGCAAATCCTGGCTACAGGCCTGATCATATACATTATAATGCATTCGGCTTGGGTCTTGTCAGAAAATAATAGCCTATAGGCCCTTGGCTATTACTTCACATAATAATACCGAAGGCTCATTGTTTATCCTTGAATCAATTGTAAGACACTCGGTGCAGCCATTTGTCAAACAATTACATTCATGGACAACATGCATAACCTTCCTGTAGTCTAATTCTATTCAGTTTTTTCATGAAACTAATATATCATGATTCAAATTCAAAATATGCCGAGTGGAAACAATTTACATTTATTTCAGACACATAAATTTCAATTTTACGAGGACTTTTACCAAACCTATTATTTTTATTACTAACATAAACATGTATAGCAAAACAGCAAAAACCTGTTGCTTACCTCTGATTTTTCTAATTTATTTTGCTCCTCTACACGGGTCATTATTTCAGACATGTTTGTCTCCAACACCATACCTCCCATACATAGCTCTGCTAAGATGTAGTGCACCTGCAAAATATATATAGAAAACAATTAGGAAACAAATCAACTTTTGCTGGGCAAAAGGGCAAGGCACTTACACATTTTGACCTTGGAATACCATCGGTATATCAGTCAACATTCAAGTTTTCTTAAGGTGGGAAGAGAAGATTAACTTTTATGCATAATTTGTGAAAGATAACCTGCCTGCATAGCTGACAACAATATTATAATATTTCAGGGACAATGAAAAGTAGATGATCAGACACTGTCACAAACTACAAAAAACGGCAACTCCACAGAGTAGCAAATCCCACCGAACAAAACATATTTTGATAATAGTGGCCATCTTGAGAGTTTCTTCTTGAACAGAGCATATCAGCATATAAAATTACCAAATCCATCCAATCCATATCAAAGATTGTGTTTTTTTGAAAAATGGCAGCCATTTTGAAATTCAGCCACCATCATTCTTTCTTGAACAGAGCTACTGTGTCCCTAGGCATCAGCATATAAAATTTGAACCAAATCTGTTCACTGGTATTTGAGTTTAAGATTACGTTTTTTTATGAAAAATGGCAGGCATTTTGAAATTCAGCCTCCATCTTGAAAATTCTTTCTCTAACAGAGCTACTGTGTCCCTAGGCATCATCATACAAAAACTGAACCAAATTCGTTCACTGATATTTTTGAGTTATCATAGATTACATTTTTTTACGAAAAATGGCAGCTATTTTGAAATTTTGCAGCCATCTTGAAAATCTCTTCTTGAGCGAACTTTGTCCTTAGGCATCATTTGAATCAAATCCCTCAACTTGTATTTGAGTTATCAAAGATTACATTTTTTACGAAAAATGGCCACCATTTTGAAATTCAGCAGCCATCTTGAAAATCTCTTCTTGAGCAAAGCTCCTTTGTCTCTAGGCTGCAGCATATAAAATTTGAATCAAATCCCTCAACTTGTATTTGAGTTATCAAAGATTACATTTTTCATGAAAAATGGTGGCCATTTTGAATTGAATGGCCATATTGAAAATTCCTTCTTGAGCAGAGGTCCTACACCCATAAGGCATAAGCCTATAAAAAGGGATGAATGGACGGATGAACGTACGTATGTAGGGACGGACGGGCGGAGACGTTCCCTATATCCCTCTGATCTTCATTCGATTGGATAAAAACTAGAACGTGGCTTATAGGTGTACCACTTATTGGTAGTATCTAAAATCATATTTTTGCATTGATTACACTTGACTTTGATTGACTTTAATAGATAAATGAAAGGGTCATTCTTAGTGAATCCTTTTCCATTGCTTGATGATGGGTAAAGATAGGAGTTTTATATGTAAGCATATCATATATCATACTCATATAACCAATATGGCAATGATCATGAAGATGGTAATATTAGACCTCTGAAAATGTAGCTCTAATAGAGAGAAAATTACGACCTTCTGATAAATGAGACTTTGGTATTTATCTGTTCATAGTACCTCATTGAGAAGCCTGTTTATATTGTTTTTATTATCTGACCTCAGTAAACAGACTTTTTAGACCTGCTTAACACAGGGTAGGCAAATAAATGGGACATATTTTAACTGATACAAAATAGACGCAAATTATCTATTGAAAAGTTATTCATAGGAGGTCACACAACTAAACAGTTCTTTGGACTTTGGATCAGTTGGTGGGAGATGTGAGGCTAGTTTCATTATGAGTGGTTTTACCTTTTCCCCTCTCTTTGTGGTCATTGTACTAGAATATTACAGTTTTCCTCATTTTTTGTACAAATGAAAATGAATCGCATTGTTGGCAAAAACTATGATGTTAGATCTAAAGGATACTTTTTAATAATGATTAGATTTTAATATTATTTTTTATAAAATGCAACAATGCGACAATTTGCAATTGTTCCCATAGTACAGGGTGTCAAAAAACAACAGCACCCCCCTCTACAGCAAAAAGTCCTTAATGTTACATATCGTGTCATACCTCATTTGAAAGATAATTTAATTCTGGAGTTACTTATCAAATTTCATTCAATAAAACTTTACATTAAAAAAGCTACATTGTTTCAAAGTTTGCTACTTCGGTACTTTGTTTGCTGCTCTGTTACTGGTTAAAGGTCAAATCTTAAGAAAGTGGAATATGAAAGACTTAGCCCTGATTTCAACTGCACTGAACATATGGGCTCAGTTCTGAAAAACAGGGTATAGGAATTGATGGACAAAGAGCCTCTTGAAAAAAGATACAGTAAGGATGTAATTCTGAAGAATGTGAGGAAAGTGCTTAGAGGATTATGCAATGCTACACCTTTATCTGATTTTTTATTGAAATCATATCCATCCAGATAAGCTGCTTTTCAAGCAGCAACTGGTAGTCATACCAACTACTAAGAATCAGCTGTAAATCTGTAAAATTATAAGATATAAAGCTGAAATTTCTCAGGTAACTCCAGAATTAAATTGTCTTCAAAATGATATATGACACACCATGTAACATTATGTATTTTTTGCTGTAGAGGGGGGGGGTGGCATTGTTTTTTGTGTAGGATATTGTCAGTGGTCCCTGGATAAGAAAGGTTATAAACAGACACTAGGGGTCTAAAAGAAAATAAACAGTTGTCAAGATAATATACACAGCAACAATTTTACATCGATGTGTTGAATAAAATTTCATCATGCCCCTAATTTAAAGTACTGTCTGACATCAAAATAAACCACCCATGTGAGCTAATAAAAAATGGGCATTTTTGGCCCACCCTGTAACTTGTAGGGTTGCAGTATACCACTCTATATATTCACATATGTGCAACTATTTGAGATTTAAAAAGGAACTGGAACACATAGCACTGTACTTGGAACCGACTCCAAACAGAAGATGCTTTGGTTTTGCAGCACACTTGTGAGTATGCAATATTTGAACAACACTTTGTTTTATATCATAAGCATGTTAAAAGTCAGTAAACTGATGAACTACTTGTCCAATGAATGTAGCTTAGTGTTATTGAAAAGTGCAAACAATTAATAGTATTTGAAAATATATGAATCTAAATTGTTGTTTAATTTTGCACCAGTTCGCTGAATATATAGATTGTGCTAGGCCTACACAGAGTGAAAATAGCATTTCAGATTCAAAAAATGCAGTGAATTAAGAATAAATCAAAAATATGTGAAGAATGTCTTTGTAAATGTTTAGTTGTTCATCCCTATGGTGATGTGTGGCCAGCCAACAGTAGAGGAGCTAAGCCATCTGATTGGATATGATATCGAGCTGAAGACAATTTGGGACACAGCTGAACGACAGAAAGCTGAAGTTTTCTGGGCCAGGCCAACTTCTGTAGAACAAGTTAGTTTTTGTGCAGTTATAAGATCACTCTAACTACTAGTATAATATATTATTTCAATGAAACATTAATACAAGTACCTTCACTTTTGAAAATACATGTTCAAAGGCTTGAAAAAATGCTTGCCTTGTAGACTGCATGACAATTTAATTGTAAAGAAGTTTTTGCCCTCATTATACATTTTAAAAAGCAAATTATTAGTGAATCTTCACTCACTTCTATAAATTGTAACTACTTTTAGATCCAGAAATTAGTTCTTGCAGCTAAAAAGTTTGAGTTACATGTTCGTGCAGTGGGTTCTAAGCACTCGTGGTCGCCCATATATGCCGACAATGGAAATATTGCTTTGGATCTATCACAGCTTGAGGGGAAAAAATTCACTATTGACAAAGTAAGTGAGCAAGCCTGAGGCCCGGGTATATAGTCATTTTAGGGGACTTTTAAACATTTTTTAACGTATTTCTGGGCCTCAGGAGCAAGCCGTCAACTCATGAAATGAAAATGATCATTCACTAATAACAGAATGCCTAAAATCAAACATTTTATGAGTTGCACCATATGCAAGTAATGTATATTTCTCACTGTGCGCTCCAAAGTTGAATATATGAATTTCTTGGCATATCACACACAGTAATTGTAAAAAGAAACACTCTGACCTTTACCTTGTTAATTGGGGTTTTCTGGAGTCAATATCAGTTTTGCCTTTGTAATGTAAAGAACTATAATATCACTTTAAGTTCTGTCTGAATAGATATTTATGATAGTCTTTATGGCTTTGTCAGATGAATGAGGTATATTGTGCTGCACAATATCCGTAAACAGGGAAACATAGGGTTCTATAGCAGGTCTTAGGAAGAAAGATGGGATATGGCAGACTCCTCTTAAAGTATCATGTAAACACTAGAAAACATAAAACAAAGGAGGTTGATTTGTACCATCTTTACTCAAGAAAAAATAAAAATTCTTCAATGCTTGTCAATTAGTTGTTCATAAAAATCTGCCAGAATAGTTGGTCTGTAGAAAAATAGGTGGTAAGATTTTTGCATCACCAATTTCATGAAATTGTTGAAAGTTATAACAAGGAAAATTGTCATTGAACCAAAAGAATATGAGAGAGAAAAAGAAAAGAAAATGATTAAAGAAGATGCAGGATTGAAGTAAATAAATGTTAAGGCAAAAGCAAAAATGTAGAAAATGTTGTTCAACTAAAATGTTAAATTTAAACTGAATTATCAAATGTTGTTTAAGGATAGAATGTTGGTCAGTTCTCTAGCATCTGCAACAATAGAAGAATTACTTAAATTCAAGACCCAACATGGAGTTACGATTCCTTCAGTCTCTAATGTAGATATACCAACTCTGCAAGGAGTCACTGCCACTTCAGCTCATGTAAGTTCACATTTAGGTAATTTATGTACTTCAAGTATAATTCTCAATAGAATGTGTGTCATGTTTTCAACCAGGGATGATGATAAATACCCAAATAAGGAAAAAGCATCCTCCAAATGCAGAGGTCCAGATATCATCCACTCTGTTCCTACCTTGAGCATAAAGGATGATGTTTAGACCCCTGCATTTGGAAGACATACAATGTCAATATAAAATCCATGGATTTTGATGTGTTTAATGATTTTTCAGTATTTGTACCCACGTCTTTTTCTAAGCCATTTTCATTGTTATACTGTAGGGGTCTATATCAAAAGAGGGACCTACTAGCACATTTGTGTATGGATTGGATTTGGTAGATAGCAGTGGACGTGTACGACATTTCAACGATGACGATGATAAAGATGTCATATCTGCATGTAAGGTCCATGTGGGAATGTGTGGCATCATCTATAACACAACTGTGAAGGTAACAATCTCTAAGACTGAGGAGTTCAGAAGTTAGATGAAAACAAGCATGACATTTCAATTTTGCAGCCAGTTGAAAGGAGGAGAACATTGATTATGTAATGATACATGCACTGGCGGATCCAGCCCCTTTGTGGCCTAATTTTTAGTTTTAGGGGCTCGAAATCTTTCCTGACTCAAAATTTAGGCCCCCCTCGTTAGCTTCTGGATCCGCCAGTGTACATGTCTGTATCTTAGTACATTGTTCAAGTATATCTAATGAAAAGGTTGACGCAGAAATGTCAGGAATAATACAACCAAGGAAACATGACATAATAATAGGCTATGGGCTAAAGGTAGTACACGAGCAGATGACTCAATATTTATTACAATATTTGTATTTTTGTGACTGACATTCAAATTGTGAACAATTTCAGGTTGTTCAAGACAGAGTGTTTAAGTTCACTAAGGCAGATATCAAAGTATCTGATTTGCTTCTCAACCAAGAGAATCGTAAAGATTTTGTGATGAACAACTATGGCGTGTTACTTCTCTGGAAGACATTCAGTGGGGCTACAGAGGCAGAGATTGCGGCAAAGGAGGAGGATGAATTCAAGAGACCCCCAAACACATGGAGAGCAGCCAATGATTATACAGGTGTATGGTATGAGATGTTATCATCTTATTCCCAAAATGGTTAACACTGAAATGTGCTATGTGGAACACTGTTGGTATCTCTAGAAAGTGTTCCACTTGGGAGGTGTTCCACTTGTAGAGGTTCTTTTAACAGTAAATCAGTTGTCTTGGGACTCTGAAAAATGTTCTACTAACAGAGATTTTCCATTTCTAAAGGTGTTCCACTTTACAGGTTTCATTGTAATGACTTTCTTATTTATGTCATTTTACAAAACTCCCTGAGGATATATGTTATCTTGAAAATCAATTTATATTCAATAGGACAATGAATCCAGTTGAAGATGCATCAATTACACCTGACAAAGTTGAGTTCCGGGAGACAATTAAACTGAAGGATGGTACATCTATACAGGTGACTTCAGACTACAGATGGGCATCTGAGAGTATCTTATTCCCTGCATGGGTGGCTGAAGTTCCCATTACCCTGAGATGGAATGTTGCATGGGCTACTCCAGAATCAGAGGATTTCTCAGCAGGTCAAAAGACACTTGAGGTGAATGATGAATTTTGTATCTTACTTCAATTAAACTGAAAAACAAACACATTCCAAGCCAGCTACCAATCCTCTTGTGGCATCAAAGTCATTTCAAAATGATCACCTATAGAATGTAATATCCCAGATGCGAGTAGAAATAATCTTGATTTACTTCATTAAAAATTCACAATTCAGTCAAATTGATGTCATATTCGGAATCTACATGTAAAATTACATTTAGAAATGTGGTTTTGAAAAGAGTTTATCAACTTTGAAAATTTAATTTTCTTTGAAAATGTGACTTCTAGGTCGGGGGAGATTCCCCATAGACCCCATGTTGTCCTAATACATCCTGTGCATAGTATGTCTGTCCATAACCCTTTTATATACAGAAAATCAAGTTATTGTCTCTGACACTGTTATACATGTACCAATAATATATGCAGATTCAGATAACTAAGACTTATATATAAACAAGAATTCATGATCTCTACCTCATGTTTTTAGTAGGATATCCCATATTGAAGTTCTTGTGATTTTAGAATTACTTCAATGTGATAGAGGCCAATATTAAACGTCTTGGAGTATACAAAGATGCTTTTGGAATTATTAGATGGCTCAGCCATAAAGAGGACTGCACTTTATGCCATACAAAAGTATGTTTTATCCAAGATTTTGAAATCACATAAACAACTGCACAAATAGTCATTCATAAGCTCAAAAATAAATTTACTTGACACAAGTTACAAACATAAGAACAGACTCAAATTTTTTAAAAACCAATGAATAGATTATGGCCAACCTCAATGTCAGTGAAAAGAAAGAGCTTACTTTATACCAATATTAATAATTGGTAATTTAAAAATTGGACAATACTTGATAATGTTACAATAAGTACAATGTAATAAAAAAGGTACACTCTCAGAGTGAACATTTAAACAAGATAGTCTTGACTGGAATCTTATGTTTACTATTAGATGGCCAATGAGTTCAAGCTGATGATGGAGATAGAATGGACACCAGCATGTCGACCCTGTAACACACACTTCATGGATGAGTCTGTCAGGGACAAACTTTGGTCCACCCAGGTCAGTTAATCAGTTCTTCATTTCATTATTATGTGAAACATATAAACTCTGACTTATTATAGTGACAGGCGCCATTTGTTCATATTAATATAACTTATTTTCATCATGTGAACGCATGTCTCAAGAAATTTTAAGACTGATGGATTTGCTAAACAGGCGCCATTTGTTCATATCAATAGAACTTATTTTCATCATGTAAACACATGTCTAAAGAAATATTAAGACTGATGGATTTGCTAAACAGGCTCCATTTGTTCATGTAAATAGAACTTATTTTCATCATGTGAATACATGTCTAAAGAAATATTAAGACTGATGGATTTGCTAAACAGGCGTCATTTGTTCATTTCAATAGAACTTATTTTCATCACGTGAACGCATGTCTAAAGAAATATTACGACTGATGGATTTGCTAAACAGGCGCCATTTGTTCATATCAATAGAACTTTTTTCATCACATGAACGCAGGTCTAAAGAAATATTAAGACTGATGGATTTGCTAAACAGGCTCCATTTGTTCATATCAATAGAACTTATTTTCATTATGTGAACGCATGTCTAAAGAAATATTAATAAGGATTTATGTACCGTATGATTATAGTTGGAGCTATTACACTATTATATCATACTAGATTGTGTAAACAAAATTGAGTGTAACCCTTTCATCAGCTTTATCAACTTTAGTGAAGTCAAGTGAGATATTCAAAGAATCAATGACTGATCGGGCTTTATCAATTTGTATGCTTTGTTTTATACAAATATTTTGTATATTTGTATGAGCTACAAAAAAATGTTATCATTTGCTTTGTTAATTTACAGTTTGCAACTGGTATGATGTCCAACAACAGTAGAATCCTACCACATTGGGGCAAATACTACGACTATATTCCAGGCATGGTGTCTCTTCTAAAAGAAAACTATGGAAGCAGTTTTGATGATTTCATCAAGATACGTAACAAGGCGTTTCTGGATCCCGATAATACGTTCATGAATTCACATTTGAAGGATTTGTTCCACGACGCAATCGTGAGAAACACTGAGAACACGTGTGCAACACAGAATACAGCCAAACATGAACATGATGAGATTTGAGCATTTTTAGAGACACTGAATAGAGCCAAACATGAACATGATGAGATTTGAGCATTTTTATTTAGAGACACAGAATAGAGCCAAACATGAACATAATGAAATTTAAGCACTTTAGAAACTCCTTTTAAGTGGTATAAACCATGGTCCTGCTAAATACTCTTGGTCAACTCCCTCCCCCAACTGAGCATTTTTATACTGGTCGCACTAATAAGAGTAGTCCTCAACCACAATGGTTTAGGAGGGTGAGGGTCAGAGGTGTCAAATAGGCTTTTTGTGCCCCATACAGTTCACATGTACACATTTATGTATTTCAATCATCATTTGAATTCCCAGAATGTTACCTGTACAACGTCTAAAACTTTGTAACAATAATCGCTGCATATTTATGTTTTGTAAAGGAAAGAAACCCATGACCCCCTAATGGAGCTTAGGGTGCAAAAGAAATAGATGGCTGTAGTTGTAGCTACTGACCTTATCAACATGGAAGATGAGATCTAGTTCACACACATTCTCGAAGCACTTATCCAATGTCTCAACAAAAACCTGGAACAACACAACAGAAAACAATTAGAATGATAAATTGGTAAAATCAATATGTAGAAGTCTAAAATATTCTAATTCAACATATTTTTTCAAACAACTGAGTGCATTTTATATGAAATGAGGTCTGTCCTTCATGCTTGCAACTCTTCCCTTTCTTCAACTTTCTTTGATGCAAATCTACCATTACTCCTCCCCTAAATGCAAATGTTATTCTAATCCATTCCCTTGATGAAAGTCTCTACCCTACCCCATTGTTCCAAATCTGTTTCATTGAAATGTAAATTCTGTAAAATGTAAACATAATATTTGATAATTGAACTATCAATAGATCATATTTGAATATCTTAATAGTGAATATATATAACACAAAGCAAATGAATAAACACAAGGAGCACACGCGTCATGAACTCGCAACCTCGTGGTTACGGCGCCCAATCGCCTAGCTCGAATGTGCCGGCGCTCAAGCCCTCTCGGCCAACTCGACAACCCCAAAAAAGGTTGTTTTGTTAGTCGATCTGACTAGAGGCAGCTGATGTTAACGCTCGAACGCACCAGAGAAAGCACAACTGGCATTTCTATCCCTTCGGCATATGCGCTTATATATTCCCACACACACAAAATACAGCACATAATGAGAATAACAATATATATCTAGAATGAAGTGGTTAGAAATATACATTCATGCAATCCATTGGCTATCATTTACCTTCATCTTATGATTGAGAAACATAGATAAATTATAGCCAAAGTTAAGTAAGAACAAAATATGTATACTGCATATATAAATCATAAATCAAATTGAACGAATATATATTAATATTGTGCAATTAATGTGTACTAGATGTCAAATCTATGGCAGTCAAGGCTTCCAGTGCCCAGGGCATTTAAGAGAAACATTGACTCAGGGATGATTAATATGGAATTACAACAGAATCTATTGTGATCAGAATATGGTCAGTAAAATTGTGAATTTCTATGTCAACTAAATGAAGCATATAAATCAACTCTGTCATTCTCAATAATGTGAAAAGTTAAAAGCATAAACATTGCGTAATAAGTTATAAACATTCTGGCACAGCTTTTTATTCTATTTTGTGACATCAAAAGGGCATGCGCATTAATGTATGTTAATATATCCCACCATAAATCATTTTGAAACAGCCATAGGGAAAAACAGTTGATGAAAAGATGGCGTAAATGTCAGTAAGCTCTATGGAACAATTTATAATCAATGAACAAAAATTGTGATTTCTACACTGTTTCATGTTTTGCTATTTCTCATAGTTAATGTTTCTTACTTCTAGATTGATATAACATGTATGTATTTACAACCAGTGTTTAATATGACTTTAGCTAGCGTTTATATCAGGTGGTATTCATGACAATTAAATTGATTTGATACAACTAGCATCAAGAACATGAACATTTCGTTATATATCAATTTTGCAATTAATGTCAACTTATACAAAACATCAGACATAAGGTGCAGTTTGGAGGTAAATTACAAATATTACATTTTATATTACTTTTAGTACCAGCTGCTTTAGCTCTAGTTAAGGGGAGTATATATTATTTGAACAACATAATATTATTTTGATATCAGATTTGTCAAGCTTTTTTAATGAATAGCATAATGAATATAATGCAATAATCAAACAATTGTTTTTCCTTATGACTATTACCATGGTTACCAGAATGGTTGAATCATACCTGAACTAAGTCTAAAATTCCCAGCTCACTTTCAGAGGAATCGACGCAGAACACAAAGTATAATGTGGCATAGTGGCGATATATCAACTTACAGTCAGTGCCACCTATCAAACTGAAATAAAACTAAATTATTCAACTATTCTGAAACAAGGCTACTTATGTGTTAGTGGTTCCTCACTAGTATTTGACGAATCATGCACTCGTGAGAGGTGAAGCGTTAAGAAATGAATGTTGCCAGCAGAAAACAGCACACCTAACATCCTACATAATTCCTCATCTATTAATATGCTTTTGCAGTCTCATAATACATTTAAAATAAAAAAAAGCACATGAACAAATAAATACCATGTAATAGAATATATGATAGGTGAGTTTCAATGAAAAATTGTTGAAGTGCAAAATAATTTCAAAATGTAATGTAATTGAGTTTTCATTGATAACGCATTTAACTTATATACAAGTACATTCAGTATAAATATAGGGAATTATTTATGTTACAAATCAAATCAATTTTGATTATGTTCAAATCATTTTACATATTTTATATAAGTTAAAAGTTTTGTGAAAACTCTTGATAATGATAAAGCTGATAAAAAGCAACAACAAAACATAGATGAACAATTATAGAGGATGATCCTAAAATCAACAATATGCACAACATAAGCTGCTAATTCCAAACAGTCAGCAATGCATCCTCAGTACTCGGCCAAACTCATATTCCTAAATTGAACTATTTTGCTATTCTTTGCTATGACTATGTTTCCTGTCATTTTATTTTCTAATCCTAGATTATCATAAGTCTAGTTTTTGACTTTTCATTTGAATCGAATGTTCAGGATTATAATTATTGTGTAATATATCATGGACGTGAACTTAAGTCAAAATATATATCATAGCAGTTGTATTATGGTCATTGGAATATGAGATAGGCTCTACCTACTAAGCTAGCATATACTACCTGGATCAAATCTAAAATTCCCAATTCACTTTCGGAGGAGTCAACACAGAACACAAAATATAATGTTGCGTAATGCCGATATATTAGCTTGTAGTCTGAGCCTCCAATTAAACTGCAAATAAGACATTGATTTTGGGGTAATTTTAAGCATGTGAGAATGCTTAGTATAAAAAGATGCATGCATATAAATGCTGGTTATTACAAATAAATATATTACAAGTTTCAACACTTCATTATGCAATAAAGAAAAGATTAGTTAAAGATGTAATTAATATCTGAGACATATTATTTAGGTTTCACAAAATTACAATAAAAAATCAATTTTTCAAAATGTTTGAACATAAATCTTTTTATCAAATTACTCAATCTAAATCTTTAATCAACTTACATTAATTTTGTAATTTACTTACATTTTAATCTACATATACTGTACATGTAAAATATATAATTGTTGCATAATTGAATATTATTACTTCATTTTTACTGTAAGTAATGGCAAAATCAGATAAATGTGACCACTTATTTCTACCAAAATAAAATGCCAGAAAAATCAAATTTGTTCATTCTGCAATATCTCCTTCTGCCGTATCAACAGTTCAGCACATTAAAAACATAAAGTCATGAATGAATTCTATTGAAACTCAGGGTTATTGTATTGCCCCTTGGTCTAAGATCCCAAAAAAGATCTAATAAGCAAAATGTTCAAAGGAGGAGGGAAGTTAGCGCAACAGATTTTGGACAGTCATATGTTTGATTTTGGCCATTTCCTGGGGATTTAAACAGGTGCATATGTTAGGCGAATGCATTACCTCCAGGAAAATCACTTCTAGAGTTGATAAAATAATTTCCACTTTGAGACAGGGTAGATGCAAACAACCACCCACATGTTTTTTCTGAAATGTTTTCCTGATTTTCAACCCCTTCCATCCCTGCTTTTTTAATTTTTCTTGCATCAATATGTTGCGTTTTGACACACAGTTCATCCCTTAAAAGGAATAAATGATTCCTTTGAGATAAAGTGGAAAACAATATTTCCCATGTTATTTTCCCATAGGAAAAAGCATTGCTTTCAGCTAAGTTTGGTCACCCATAATGGGTATCTTTAAAACCCCTGAAGGAATCACTTATTCCTTTAAAGGGGTTAACTATGTGTCAAAATGCAATATATTGATGCAAGAAAAATTAAAATAAAAAAGCAGGGATGGAAGGGGTCGAAAATTAGGAAAACATTTCAGAAAAAACATGTGGGTGGGTTGTTTGCATCTACCCTGTCTCAAAGTCGAAATTATTTTCTCATCTCTAGAAGTTATTTTCCTGGAGGTAATGCATTGGCCTAACATATGCAATTGTGTAAATCCTCAGAAAATGGCCAAAATCCAACATATGACTGTCCAAAATCTGTTGCGCTAATTTCCCTCCTCCTTTTGTACTCAATTATGACCATTTAATATGAATAACATCTACAGATAATAATACTCATGCAACTTTTAAACTACTCGGTGTTCCTTCAACTAACCTGCCGCCTTCTAAGAAATTGCACACATTGTCATCCCGCTTTGATACTAAATGAAATGTCTCCCTTATGATTTGTTGCTGCATATCTTCTGGCTGAAAAACATGAAATTTAAATCAGAAAATAAGTAAATTAGGTTCCTACAGATTTTCAACTATGTAACTTGCTGACAATTACCCTGGCTTTTTCCTATTCAGTCTGGTCCAATTCGACATTCGTCTAATTCATTTTTTCCCATTGTGCCTGAATTTAACATTTGCAATGACTGACTAATTTGAAAGGGACATCTGATGATAAAAAGGTATATTTAATTTGACTGTTTTTGCATATCATTATACAGAAGGTTGCTCAGACATCCATGTGGGCACCGACGTTGTCTCATGGTTTTCAACAAGAAAGAATAACTGCAAAATGTACACTTTTGAGAAGAAAATATTCTTTCTCACATCTAGCCAGCTCATTGTTTGAGAAGTAAGTAGTTGTTAATATGCACATATCAAACAACGCAATCATGCAAAGATTTTAAACAGTGCAATGAAAACTCTCTAAGCTAATCTGTACTTTCATTTCTTACATTTTTGACATTCAAGAAATGGTAAGCAAAATGGTTAGAAACTTTTTTTTATTGTATTCAAATTCACAATAAATAGTGAAGTTGTAGACGATAAGACAATGCACAGTTGTGTTATGAATGATTTTAAATACTTATTCCAAGTGCATGCGCTAAAAACCGAACTTAAAAACGAACCTGGCACAGATTGGCTCTCATACAAACGATGCCACTGGATTAATCAGCAGTGCTCAGAGGTTACAAGTAAGAGCTGCAGATGACTCTTAGGTGAGTAACCGTGTAATCTATATCGGGATTGCCTTAGAATTGGGTTTGTCTTGGCGGGAGACTAAATTGGCGCGCATGCGCAGTCAATCATTTAATATTCGAATACTAGACAAATTCCTGTGGAGCACATGATATCAAGACTGGTCAACTGGTGTGGCCATTTCGATTTCTGACCCACCTTTATGAATTCTTTGTTTGCAGGGCATGCCCAAATTCTTATTATCCAGGGAGTACCTTGTGTGATAATGTGCAACGTAGCCTTTCCCAATGGCCATGATATCATGGCCATTACGCATACCTGTATTTATAATGACGCAGCAGCAAACTGCGATAAACTATGCACCTACCCTATCTTTGAATGCTCCGAAATCACTCTGCTACGTTTTTAGTGAAGTAATTTGGTATTTCATGAGTAATTAGGAGATTTTTGTAAAAAATTTTGAACTAATTTTGAAAATTAAAATCCTCCTTATGTACATGCGCGTGTCAAACTTTTAACTAATCGAAATCATTACTTCAATACTAGTTTAATAACATAAATGGACAATTAATTTAAAACGTTTTATTAAAAAACCATCAGTGTCAAGATTTAGGGACAAAAATTTATGTCATTTTAAAGTAAAGCTTTTTTTCTTTACAATGACGAGTTGAGAAATTTAAAAACATCCCACCTACTGAACTTTTAAACTTTAAGGCATGTATTTTCAAAAAGCTTTACATTGGCGATATTCCATTACATTCTTGGACTTTGATTATTTTACGATTGAAAGTTGTGAACTTTTATATCAGGCATTTCAAATAGCTTTACATTGGACATATTCCTTTACATTCTTGGACTTACAATATTTTACGATCTGAAGAGGTGAACTTTTACAGCATGCATTTTCAAAAAGCTTTACATTGGCCATATTCCTTTACATTCTTGGACTTAGAATATTTCACGAAGCAAAGTTGTGAACTTTTTATGCAGGCATTTTCAAAAAGCTTTACATTGGCGAAATTCCATTACATTCTTGGACTTAGATTATTTTGCGATTGAAAGTTGTGAACTTTTATAGCATGCATTTTCAAAAAGCTTTACAATGGCCATTTTCCTTTACATTCTTGGACTAAGATTATTTTACGATATAGAGAACTGAAATTTATGGCATGCATTTTCAAAAAGCTTTACATTGGCCATTTTCCTTTACATTCTTGGACTTAGAATATTTTGCGAGTGAAAGTTGTTAACTTTTAAAGCATGCATTTTCAAAAACCTTTACATTGGCCATATTCCTTTACATTCTTGGACTTAGATTATTTTATGATATATAGAAGTGTAATTTATGGCATGCATTTTCAAAAAGCTTTACATTGGCCATTTTACTTTACATTCTTGGACCTAGAATATTTTGCGATTGAAAGTTGTGAACTTTTATAGCATGCATTTTCAAAAACCTTTACATTGGCGATATTCCTTTACATTCTTGGACTTAGATTATTTTACTATATATACTTGATAACTTTCAAGGCATGTATTTTCAAAAAGCTTTACATTGGCCATATTCCTTTACATTCTTCATTCTTGGAATTAGAATATTTTACGATCTGAAGAGGTGAACTTTTGCAGCATGCATTTTCAAAAAGCTTTACATTGGCCATATTCCTTTACATTCTTGGACTTCACATATTTCAAGAAGCAACGTTGTGAACTTTTAATGCAGGCATTTTCAAAAAGCTTTACAATGGCCATATTCCATTACATTCTTGGACTTTGATTATTTTACGATTGAAAGTTGTGAACTTTTAATGCAGGCATTTTCAAAAAGCTTTACATTGGCCATATTCCTTTACATTCTTGGACTTAGAATATTTCACGAAGCAAAGTTGTGAACTTTTTATGCAGGCATTTTCAAAAAGCTTTACAATGGCCATTTTCCTTTACATTCTTGGACTTAAGATTATTTTACGATCTATAGAAATGAAATTTTATGGCATGCATTTTCAAAAAGCTTTACATTGGTCATTTTCCTTTACATTCTTGGACTTAGATTATTTTATCATATATAGAAGTGAATTTTATGGCATGCATTTTCAAAAAGCTTTACATTGGCCATATTCCTTTACATTCTTGGACTTAGAATATTTTACGATCTAACGAGTTGAAATTTTACAGAATGCATTTTCAAAAAGCTTTACATTGGCCATATTCCTTTACATTCTTGGACTTAGATTATTTTACGATCTTATGAGGTGAAATTTTATGGCATGCATTTTCGAAAAGCTTTACATTGGCCATTTTCCTTTACATTCTTGGACTTAGAATATTTTACGATATATACTTAGAATATTTCACGAAACAAAGTCATGAACTTTTTATGCAGGCATTTTCAAAAAGCTTTACATTGGCCATTTTCCTTTACATTCTTGGACATAGATTATTTTGTGATTGAAAGTTGTGAATTTTTATAGCATGCATTTTCAAAAAGCTTAACATTGGCCATATTCCTTTACATTCTTGGACTTAGATTATTTTACGATCTATAGAAGTGAAATTTTACAGCATGCATTTTCAAAAAGCTTTACATTGGCCATTTTCCCTTACATTCTTGGACTTAGATTATTTTACGATCTATAGAAGTAAAATTTATGGCATGCATTTTCAAAAAGCTTTACATTGGCCATTTTCCTTTACATTCTTGGACTTACATTATTTTATGATATATAGAAGGGATATATACTATATATATATATATACTTGCTAACTTTTAAGGCATGTATTTTCAAAAAGCTTTACATTGGCCATATTCCTTTACATTCTTTGACTTAGAATATTTCACGAAACAAAGTTGTGAACTTTTTATGCAGGCGTTTTTAAAAAGCTTTACATTGGCAAAATTCCATTACATTCTTGGACTTAGATTATTTTACGATGTAAAGTAGATAACTTTTAATTCAGGCATTTTCAAAAAGCTTTACAATGGCCATTTTCCTTTACATTCTTGGACTTAGAATATTTTACGATCTATAGAAGTGAAATTTTATGGCATCCATTTTCAAAAAGCTTTACATTGGCCATATTCCATTACATTTTTGGACTTAAATTATTTCAAGATTTAAAGTTGTAAACTATTATGTTATGTATTTTCAAAAAGGTTTACATTGGCAAAATTCCTTTACATTCCTGGACTTGGCTCATTTTACGATTTAAGTTGTGAACTCTCATAGAATGCTGTACATGACGCTTTACTGTCCCCTTTCCTTTAGCCTGTTATTTTGACTTTTAGATTTGGTATTTGTTGGATTCTGTTCTTTCACGACGTACAGTACATGTAGAATTGTAAAAACCATATGTCATTGGAGAGAATACAGTAAAGATCGCTAAATATAGAAATGAACTTGCATAGACAATATTGATAGTGATTGAAGAAATCCCCAAGAGAGCCCCTCGAATAGACGGGATTGTTTTCCCCGATCATCTTCAATAATTTCACAAGAGATGGTTGGAAATCGATCTAAAGTTATGCCTTATATTTCTAATTTGATGATAGAGTATGATTCCAGGTGGGAAAGTCGTGTAAAAGGCGAGAAATGTTAAAAGAAATGAGAAAGTTTGACGGGCTTTTGACATGCGCAGAACTCATGCGCAGAAGCTCTTTTGGTAAAATGCCGATCAAATTTCTAACTTTGAAACATTTCCTTCATTTTATGGACTATTTTGCGATAACATTAGAAATACATGGTGTTGAAAGCCCCCAATGATAGATATTAATCGGGAGGATGTACCGGCCAATACTAATATCGAAGGTAGAATACATATATGGAATTTGACGCGCCGACCTCAGAGAAAACACTTCCGGTTTTATAACCAAATACTATCGATCAGAATACATGTATCTTATTGTAATGTAATTTCGCCAGACATCTGCTAATATGATATGTGAATATTTGTTGATTTGATTGTTAATTACAAATTACTCAGAAATACACGTAGGTACATGTAAGGTGAAGAACAAGTCAAGGTTTACATCGTAAAATAATCCGAGTCCAAGAATGTAAAGTTCACAACTTTCAATTCACTTCTATACATGTAGATTGTAAAATAATCGATGTCCAAGACTGTAAAGGAAAATGGCCAATGTAAAGCTTTTTGAAAACGCATGCCATAAAATTTCACCTCGTTAGATCGTAAAATAATCTAAGTCCAAGAATGTAAAGGAAAATGGCCAATGTAAAGCTTTTTGAAAATGCCTGCATAAAAAGTTCATGACTTTGTTTCGTGAAATATTCTAAGTCCAAGAATGTAAAGTGGCCAATGTAAAGCTTTTTGAAAATGCATTCTGTAAAATTTCACCTCGTTAGATCGTAAAATATTTTAAGTCCAAGAATGTAAAGGAAAATGACCAATGTAAAGCTTTTTGAAAATGCATGCCATAAAATTTCACCTCGTTAGATCGTAAAATAATCTATGTCCAAGAATGTAAAGGAAAATGGCCAATGTAAAGCTTTTTGAAAATGCCTGCATAAAAAGTTCATGACTTTGTTTCGTGAAATATTCTAAGTCCAAGAATGTAAAGGAATATGGCCAATGTAAAGCTTTTTGAAAATGCCTGCATAAAAAGTTCATGATTTTGTTTCGTGAAATATTCTAAGTCCAAAAATGTAAAGGAATATGGCCAATGTAAAGCTTTTTGAAAATGCATTCTGTAAAATTTCACCTCGTTAGATCGTAAAATATTTTAAGTCCAAGAATGTAAAGGAAAATGACCAATGTAAAGCTTTTTGAAAATGCATGCCATAAAATTTCACTTCTATAGATCGTAAAATAATCTATGTAAAGGAATGTGGCCAATGTAAAGCTTTTTGAAAATGCCTGCATAAAAAGTTCATGACTTTGTTTCGTGAAATATTCTAAGTCCAAGAATGTAAAGGAATATGGCCAATGTAAAGCTTTTTGAAAATACATGCCTTGAAAGTTATCAAGTATGCATGCCATAAAATTTCACTTCTATAGATTGTAAAATAATTTAAGTCCAAGAATGTAAAGGAAAGTGGCCATTGTAAAGCTTTTTGAAAATGCATGCTATAAAAGTTCACAACTTTCAATCGCAAAATAATCTAAGTCCAAGAATGTAATGGAATTTCGCCAATGTAAAGCTTTTTGAAAATGCCTGCATAAAAAGTTCACAACTTTGCTTTGTGAAATATTTTAAGTCCAGGAATGTAAAGGAATATGGCCAATGTAAAGCTTTTTGAAAATACATGCCTTGAAAGTTATCAAGTAAATATCGTAAAATAATCTAAGTCCAAGAATGTAAAGGAATATCGCCAATGTAAAGGTTTTTGAAAATGCATGCTATAAAAGTTCACAACTTTCAATCGCAAAATATTCTAAGTCCAAGAATGTAAAGGAAAATGGCCAATGTAAAGCTTTTTGAAAATGCATGCCATAAAATTTCACTTCTATAGATCGTAAAATAATCTAAGTCCAAGAATGTAAAGGAATGTGGCCAATGTAAAGCTTTTTGAAAATGCATGCCATAAAATTTCACTTCTATAGATCGTAAAATAATCTAAGTCCAAGAATGTAAAGGAATATGGCCAATGTAAAGCTTTTTGAAAATGAATGCTATAAAAGTTCACAACTTCCAATCGCAAAATAATCTAAGTCCAAGAATGTAATGGAATTTTGCCAATGTAAAGCTTTTTGAAAATGCCTGCATAAAAAGTTCACAACTTTGCTTCGTGAAATATTCTAAGTCCAAGAATGTAAAGGAATATGGCCAATGTAAAGCTTTTTGAAAATGCATGCTGCAAAAGTTCACCTCTTCAGATCGTAAAATATTCTAATTCCAAGAATGAAGAATGTAAAGGAATATGGCCAATGTAAAGCTTTTTGAAAATACATGCCTTGAAAGTTATCAAGTATATATAGTAAAATAATCTAAGTCCAAGAATGTAAAGGAATATCGCCAATGTAAAGGTTTTTGAAAATGCATGCTATAAAAGTTCACAACTTTCAATCGCAAAATATTCTAGGTCCAAGAATGTAAAGTAAAATGGCCAATGTAAAGCTTTTTGAAAATGCATGCCATAAATTACACTTCTATATATCATAAAATAATCTAAGTCCAAGAATGTAAAGGAATATGGCCAATGTAAAGGTTTTTGAAAATGCATGCTTTAAAAGTTAACAACTTTCACTCGCAAAATATTCTAAGTCCAAGAATGTAAAGGAAAATGGCCAATGTAAAGCTTTTTGAAAATGCATGCCATAAATTTCAGTTCTCTATATCGTAAAATAATCTTAGTCCAAGAATGTAAAGGAAAATGGCCATTGTAAAGCTTTTTGAAAATGCATGCTATAAAAGTTCACAACTTTCAATCGCAAAATAATCTAAGTCCAAGAATGTAATGGAATTTCGCCAATGTAAAGCTTTTTGAAAATGCCTGCATAAAAAGTTCACAACTTTGCTTCGTGAAATATTCTAAGTCCAAGAATGTAAAGGAATATGGCCAATGTAAAGCTTTTTGAAAATGCATGCTGTAAAAGTTCACCTCTTCAGATCGTAAAATATTGTAAGTCCAAGAATGTAAAGGAATATGTCCAATGTAAAGCTATTTGAAATGCCTGATATAAAAGTTCACAACTTTCAATCGTAAAATAATCAAAGTCCAAGAATGTAATGGAATATCGCCAATGTAAAGCTTTTTGAAAATACATGCCTTAAAGTTTAAAAGTTCAGTAGGTGGGATGTTTTTAAATTTCTCAACTCGTCATTGTAAAGAAAAAAAGCTTTACTTTAAAATGACATAAATTTTTGTCCCTAAACCTTGACATATATATAAATGTATTATATGCTTAATATAATGATTTATGTTGCCTGAAGATGACGCTTCCTACTTACCAAGTTAGACGTTGAGGTAATATGAGATAATTGTAAGTTTGTTGAGATTTTTCAGTGACGTCACCGGAAGTTGAGTTCCGGAAGATGCAATGCATGCTGGACCTTTTTCAATTCTGCACGAGGCGGGAATGATAACATTTCAGTGGTAGGCAATCTAGCAATCTTTGAGGGTAAGTTGATTTATTCTAATATAACGTTTGGGTAGAAAAGTTCCCACCCACCCACCCTCTGGGAAGTACAGTAACGGATAGCAGGCCGGGTGTGGCCCCTCACAGAACAGAAAAAGTATGAAGGAATGAGACTAAAAGCACTCAGGTCGGATACTGGACATAAAGTAAGCCGCAATGTTAACATATAATTGGAAAGCTAGAGTACGAACTGCCAGTTAGTTCAATGTTGCGATTGGTTATTACTCATGAGCTTGCAGCTTATTAATGTTCAGGAGCTGACAGCTCTTTAATTTTCATGAGCTTGTAGCTCATTATTTTCATGAGCTTGTACATATAGCTCTTTATATTTCAAGAGCTGGTTTATCTTTAAGTGGTCATAAGCTCCAAGCTCGATATCAGGAAATTTATTATTGAACCTGCCTGAGTGCTTTGTTGATTAGTTTGGTAGGTAGGATGCGACTCCTTAAGGCAACAAAATAGTAGATACATATTGAGGTCAGATTTCAAGGAGACATAAAAAACCCGCGGGCCCGTTTTATTAAAAAATGTTTTATTTAAAACGAAAGAATATGATATCTCACTACACGTTTAGTAGCTTTAGCGAAATCTTACTATAATAATTTCGTTTCTTGGTGTTCATATAGATTTGCATAACGACCAGAGGAACCAGAATTTCTAAGCTGAATTTGCAGGTCTCCAACTAACATCATAATTTTAACATTTATGAATGCAGAATTCTGCGATAATCTATTCAATGGTATGCGAGATGTCCCTACTACTAGGGACATCTTGAAGTCTAGTGCAAAGGAGTTGGCCAGAAAAAATTAAAAATGATAAAACCGGAAGTGATTCAATCATCAAAATAAACCCCTTACTTACATAATATTGGTAAAACTTTGACATCCGTGGCTTTCCATGATTGTTGAAAACTAGTATTGCCTTTATCATGCTGACTGCACAGACTCTGTAAGGTATAGATGGGAAAAATATGACAAGTTTTGTTTCATCGGATAAAAGTTGATGTCACGTGACCCAGAATAATCATGACAATCAGAGTTATGCTACATCTCAGAATGTTACTGCATTTTTGATTAATTCTAAAGATTTAATTGATATTTGAAATGAATGAAAATATTTATCAAACAGTTTTTTATGATTTTCGTAAGCGACATAACAATAAATCACGATAAGAAAATAAACTGAACTTGAGTCATGACAGTAATCACGTGATCAGAAATAGTACACAAAAACACGAAAGGGAACGAAATTTGAAGTTGCAGTTGCTCCGTTTTTAAACTGAATAACCTTTGTAAATCGTCAGTAAATCTCATGAAACAATGGAATGTGATAAAGAGATGACTGAAGAATATACACAAATACCAATTATTCCTGAAATAAACACTTTGGAAGAATTAATAGCTGAATTGCAAAAAGTGTTCCAGGAGGACAGAATCAATGTTGAACATGTGAAGGCTGTACTGGGAGCCTATACAAGTAGACCAAGGGATTGGAGAAAATATGCTAAATTTGACCCTCACAGGTAAGATACAGTGATTATTGAATAATTTCATATGTGACTTTGTCAAGATGACAGTCAAAATCTCTATCAGCAAGGATATATCAGCTGGTAATTTTCCATTGCGAAATTCCAATAATAAGACTTATCTAATATCTAGGCCTTATCCCGTTCCCGGACTATAGTCCTGCACTGAGCCATAGATCCCGGCAAGATTTTTTTGTAGTAAGATCAGTAGCTCAATAAATATTCCTCAAGATGAGACACCTCAGAAAATTTCAAATTTTAAAATGACGATTATGGAGCCATTTCTGAAAAATATGAGACAAATCATACCTCATTCGAAGCATCTTGTTATTCTTTAACTTTTTTATCACCAATGACCGTTATTCAAGCAAGTCTGCGTTGATAAGAGGCCAAAACAGTGATATTTTATCGCCGGACTCTTGTCTGTCCAAATCTGAATGGTGCTCCCGTTGTTCCAGAAATGTGACGTCATCAGTACAATGATATTTGGACACACAAGAGTCCGGATCTCGTGAAAAATATTCGCCGCATTAAAAGTCAGATAACTGCATCCATAGGTTATTTACTCGAACCAAACAAGTAGAAATAGAAAGATGAAGATCTCAGCTATAATATGAGTGCAAAATCTGTCATGGGGAAGCAGGTACCATTTTGTATAAGAAACATTTTTAAAAGGTGGTCATATTTTTTTGAAATTTTCCAATTTAGTGTCGTATCTTGTGAATTATTCTTTGAGCCTATGAGATCCTACTACAAATTAATCTGGCCAATATCTGTGCTTTGAGCGCATTCATTTGCCTGTACGATTACAACTTGTGAGAATTATCTACGCCCCTTACACTTAAGATACCTACCTCAATGCATTATAGAACTCAAGATGTAACTTCTAATATATTGGAACCGCCGATTGTCTGGGTATATCGGCAGAACGGGAACATTTTCTCTTTTTCATCGAGAGAGATTCCATCACTTTTCAAAATGGCGGTTGGATTTAAAAGGGGAATCCCCCGTTTGGCTGTCCCGGATGTAGCCCGGAAGTACCAATATGGAGGAATTTGACGGTTGAAATAAGTTAAATGTTACACGCAAATATTGCGATCAAAAACGAAAATGTCTTCGTTCTGCCGATAAACCCAGACAATTGTGGATTCAACTACACGAAAAGAATGCTAAATTACCAAGGAATCTATTGAAGTAGGTATCTGAAGTGTAAGATGAGTAAAAAATTCTCCCATGTTGTAATCGCACAGGCAAAAGATTGAGATGTTCACAGGACCATAGTCCGGGAACGGGATAATCTAGGCCTAATAGTAGTATGTATCCAACAATATAATTCAGACTAAATAGGATATAGTCTAGGCCTAATAGAATGAAGTCCTGTAACTTAGAAAATACTAAATAATTTTTTTCTCATGGCAGGGGCTTTGCTCAGTGATATCTTATGTTTATTCAACTTTCATATTTTTGTAATTTGTCTGAAATTTTTTTAACGATTGCTTGACGATCTATAAATAAATATGAGGCCATGTCCTACAGCAGAGTTTTGGCCCAAAATATGAAATTTGTGCTTCAAGCTCAATATCTGCGATTTGCAAGCGATTCTGACCATGTTTTAAGTATCGAAATAATGCCTGAAGAGTATTGAGACTCAACTGAACTGAAGTTAAAAAAAGTCACTCAGTACCCACATGGGATACATCCTAGCCTCACAGTGTTAACTCTACATTTAATATTTAACTCTGTTTCTGTTTAAAAATGAAATTTGCTTACACTTTCTCTACAAATGCCAAAACTGACCCACACACACAGTGAATAAGTGCACACAGTGAGTGGGGGGGGGGGTTGAACCCATAATAATTTGGGTAGGTATGTGCACAGGCAATTTTGGCTAAGGGCATAAATCATGGAACTTGGGCAATCTGAGAGGAAAAAAACATGGAACATTTTTCGAAGAGACTTCGAGCCCTTTTTAAGTCAAAAATCGGTTTTTCTACAAAAAATGATAATAAATTGGTAAAATCAATTGACAGGAAGTATACATGGAAACTTTCAATCTTGAGAGGAAATTGACATGGAAAAAATGCTCAAAAAGGGGGTCTTTGGCGCGCCACATAGGTATTAAAAGGTATATTAGAGTGAAACCCCCGGGGTAAAAGCATACATGTATATACAGGGTGTCTCAAAAAAATGTACCCAAAAGTATATCAAGACCACAGATTAACCAATCAATATTTTCAGACATTTTTTGCATGGTCATGTAGCCAAAACATGAAAGTTTTCTCCCCAACACACCATTTTTATTTTTATTTGTTGCTTTAACCTTTTGCCCTTTACACCACATAATCAATGTAACCTCATATTTCGATGACAGCCTGTATCCTTACTGCTACATTGTTAATCACATTTGATAATAATTCCGGTGGAATGTTTTGGATTTCTCTTTGGGTGTTGCCCTTAAGTTGTTCTAGGTCTTTTTGCTTGGAATGAGCATTAAACACTCCTTCAAATAGCCACAGAGAAAGATGTTTGACGATGACGATGGCAGAACAAACACAGATAATCAGGTCAATTATCGGCAAATGATTCAGGAGTTACCTTCGAGAGTTAGGCAGGCTAGCCTGGAGACCAAATGATATCCAAATGAAAACACGGTGGTCTCAAATTGATACACACAACAAAGGCTACACTAGAATCCCAACCAATACAGTTTCTTGAACCTCTGACCTCTCCGTATAAGGAGGCTATAAGACATTGTGAGGGCCTCCCTATTCACCACATTTGACGGCCCATACTTTTTTCTCTGAGGCTATTTGAAGGACCATTTTTATGCTAAACCCAAGCTAAGAAACCTAGAACAACTTAAGGCCAGCATCCAAACAGAAATCAAAACATTCCACCAGAAATATCAAATGTGATGAACGATGTAGTAGTAAGGATGCAGACTGTCATCAAAATATGAGGTTGCATTGGATATGTGGTGTAAAAGGTAACGGGTTAAAGTATCAAAAAGGCAAAATTGAATTAAAAACTGTGTATAGGGGAAAAAACTTTCATCTTTTATCTACAAGACCATGTAAAAAATGTCTGAAAATATTGATTGGTTTGTCTATGCTGTTGATATACTTTTGGGTACATTTTTTTGAGACACCCTATATATATTCTTTTATTGACTCTTATATATGTCAGTCTCTCCGACACATGGGTCACTATACAGTTATTTACATGTGTTTTATATACAAATATACAGTCATAAGCAAAATGGAAAAATACAAAATCATTACATCATGATTCTAATGTAGTGTTGATGTATACATTCAGACTGGAAACACCTTTTCAAATAGGCTTGACAAACATGATTGCTACAAAATGTACATTCTATGATACAAAATAAATTTACAAATATTTACAAACTGATACAATGTTAGAGACTAGATATGAATGCTCTTACATTGTTACAATCTATGAGGAATTTGGCAAAATATTTTAATATGTTAATTTTGCTGTTCATGATCTCCTTTATTAAAAATTCAGGCATTAAGGTGCTAATAGGAATATTTTCAGCTAGTGTTTTGAAGAATATTGCTCTCTGGTTTGTATAAGAAGGGCAGTAAAAAATTAAATGTAGTTCATCTTCTATTTGATTTAGGTTACAATTTAAACAGAGTCTATCTTTTAGTTGTATCTTTTGTCCATCTTTCTTTTTGTGTCTACCTATTTCAATTTCTAATTTGTGGTTACTTAGCCTTATTTTGCATAATATGTTTCTAAGTTTGCTGTTTTTTATCATAAGCAAAGGCTCTTTTTTGAATTCAACTTTGAATAAAGAATATGTTCTCAGGCATGGGTTTTTTGAGTGATCATTGATTAGAGCAAGCCATTGGTTTTTGTAAAGAGATCTTAATTTATTTGATACTTTAAGATGAAGTGTTAAATATGACTGAATGTCAATATCAGATTTTAAATGATTATCCCACATATCTTGTAAATCACATTCTTTCAAAATATTTTGGATTTGTGACACCCATGATTTCCCACCGCAATGATAGATTTGAAGGTTCTGTTGATACGCTATATTAAGTTTGTGTTGAGATTGAAGAGTAAGTAATCGACACCAATATTTTATTTTTTGAACTTTCATTCTTATAATGAGGGGATACCTTCCAAATTCACCAAGTATTGCTAGATTTGAAGTTTGTGTTTTAACATGTAAAAGTTGCTTTAAAAATCTCAGTTGTAATTTTTCTATGATCTCAAAACTTTTAGATTGTGCAAGTACTTCATTACCATATTCAAGTATTGGTAGAATCAATTTATCAAAAAGATTTAGTGCTACGTCTACTGGTAGATTACCTAGTACTTTGTAATAGCCTCTAAGCTTAAATATGGCTTTTGTTGCTTTTTGAGCTAAATGATTTGAATTTGACTTGAGATTTTTGGTAGAAAGAATGCAGCCTAAATATTTATACTCTGATACTTCTTCAATTGTTTGATTGAGGATAGAAAAGTTAATTATAGGTGTATTTTTCTTCTTTCCAAAGACAAGAACTTTAGTCTTTTTACAGTTTATAACAAGGCGCCAAGAATTACAGTAATCTTCAAAAGCATGCAAAAGTTTTTGTAAATAACTTGGATTTGGAGCGCAGAGCACAATATCATCAGCCCATGCAAGATGTGTTATTGAAAGATCATTAATGAAGGTACCATATTCAGTGTTTAGAGCATCCTTTACATCTGATATGAATAATTTGAAGAGGAAAGTACTAAGGGTTCCACCTTGAATTATACCAACCTCATTTGTGAATGTATCTGTGATACCAGCATCAGTCCTAACGCAAGATTTTGATTTAGAATACATTGATTTAATGACGTTTAACATATTACCTGTGATGCCTCTTTGAATAAGTTTATATATGAGCATGTTTCTATCAATTAAATCAAAGGCTTTTTTCAGATCAATAAAGCAACAATATAGGGGCTGAACATCACTTAAATTAATCTCAAATTTGTCTGCTAGAGGAGGCATTATTTCACTGAATGATATGCTGGGATGATTGACATTGGAGAATGAAGCAAATAATCAAATATTTGTGAGCAAATAGGTTTAGTATTTATTCAAATGTCAGGAAATGATATTTGTAGTATTTGAATACATTGACCATTGACTGTGCCTGCTTGAAGATTTAGTGTACTGACCAGGGTGCGTCATAAGCGTTGGCCCGAGCGCTCGGGACCAGTTACTTTTGATACAGACCAGTTCGCTTTCGAAAGTCACCAGCCCGGTTGACCAGTCCACCTCTTGGTCAACATAGAGTACATATAACAAACCATTGCTTCATGGCTTAGATGACACAATTTACGTGTGACATATTTGTATTTTTGCAACATTTCTGCCCAATTTCATGAAAATAAATTCATATTTCAAAGTTTTTGTCATCTTATTTCAGGGTCAGTAAAGAACCGGTATTTTCGTTGAATGTTATTTAATCGCTTATGAGGCCAATCAAATTTGACATACTTTATTGCCTTTTCTCAAATGAAAGTCCCGGGGGCGTATCAAAAATACAAAACAAACCTTCTGATCAATGCTTCATAAGTTCATACTTCTGATGTTAGCGATCAGATATTTCTCTTATATTACTTAATAAAACCTTGAATATGAATCTTAGTTACGATAAACCAAATGCTTCGTTATGCATTAAAAAGTTCACAAGTAAATTACACTTTCGAGAGAAATCTCATCACTCCGGGTAGTCAAGAGGTTAAAAAGAAAATCATGAAATTAAGGGGTGTCTTATTCCACAAAGTTAAATGTTGAAATGTGCCTTTTACCAGAATATGGTAGTTATCTGTAATGTCAGGTCACATATGAGAGAGGTCAGGGAATAGAGCACATTTGTGATGTTTGCTTTAAAAAGAAACTCCCATAGTGAAAACAGCGTTGTTTCCACATGAAAAGGTATAAATAGGCCATTACTAATGGTCTTTGGTATATGTGACAGATGACCCAGGGTACTTTAACACATTTTCTTTCACTCCCAAAATCATTCATTTTGGTGTTACTTTTAAATAAAAGCAAATCTATTGGTCCTTAAAACTTCTTCAATTGTTTTTTTCCCAGATTTATCTAAAATATACCTATAAAGCTCTGGCCTGGGTAATAAGTAATGAATATGACTGGCTGTCGGGGAAATCCAATATTTAATTTTTCCCAGATTTATATGTACAGTGTAGCTTCTTAAGAATTCTTCAAGTGAGGGAGAATAGTATATGTATACAAAGAGCAAACTACATAAAGCCCAGTAAGCCCCTTACTAAACTAAACATGAATTATATGGAGGACTTATTCCTCAAATAGCTCAGTTTGCATGTTATTCTGGAATAAACAAGAATTTCATATACATGTACATTGTCCTAAGTCTATATATATTTGCATCATAGGTGAGGGGTCAAAAGATAAGATAACTGGCCTACCTTTTGAAAACATCAGAATATCTATCAAAAATGTAATATTTTACACATGATGCTGCCTTTAAAAAAGAGGTTTATTTTTGATAACTAGACCCAAAAATATATTTCACAACTTTCGAAATTAAATGAAATAATGTTTGAATACTAGAATTATATGAAACTATATGTTGGGTCTTTATCCAAATAAAGCCCAAATGAAATATCATATTTCTTTGGAAAAGTACAATCCTAATAAAGTAACTGAATGCTTTAGGAAATTTCCATTGAATCACGTTAGTATATGTATTCTGAAATATGATGGTGATTACATAAAATATTATAATAGTTAGGACATATGATTTGGCGAATATTTAATCCTATTGAGGTGAATACGTGCATCCTTCACAAGTGATATTCCATGAAGTGCGAAGGGCTAGTAGAATATAATCATCCCAAGGAACGAAGTTCAGTAAGGATATAGTGAGGCCCTCCATCCATCCGTCAGTCAGTGAGTCTGTCCATCCGTCTGTCCAGAAGATAACTCGAATATTAGTCGACAAATTTTCTCCATATTTAGTGGAAAGATGTATATTGGTGAATAGTTTTACGTAAAAAATCTTTTTTCAAGATGGCCGCCGGTTTAGAATTGGCAGGAATTTTTTCGCAAAAATTTTATGTTTTTCGTTTTTTAACAAAAATAATAAATATTATTATTTGACATTTTGGTAGTATATATGGCTCACACAGTGAACCTATGGGATTGACCTGGCATTCATCCGTCCGTTGGTCCATCTGTCAATATTGGCCGCACAAATTAAGTGCTATTCGGATTGAGTCATATCTACATTCATATTATGCATATCCATAATGCCTATTTGACCTATCATCGTCATTTCCCAAGTTCGCCCGGTTTCCGAGAAATTGCTGATTTTGACGTCAAAAAGTCAAATTTTCTGTAAATACTGGACACTTTGTTGAAGTAGAACTTTCAACTTGTGTTTATAAAATTTGACTAAAAGTAGAACTTACTCATGTATAAAGTCAATCATCATTGGCTGCACAAAACACTGTGTGAGCACAGGACTGTGGGTCCTTTATCACAACATCTATCTGTATTTCATATATATCCCAGTTTTTCACCCTGACCCCCAGGGGCTGTGAATAGGGGCTTGGGAAAACAGGACTTTTCGTTAATTTTGAGATGTTTTTGAAGTATAGCTTTACTAGGTTTGCGTTAACGCCGTTTTTCACGATTTTTACGCAGTTAATTTCATCTTCACGCAAAACTGCAACGCATCTTACGTGTCGTGTACGCAAAAATCATATCCCCCAAATGTATTTATGAAATAATACAAAAAACAACCAAAAAACAAAAATTAAAAACTTAAGCACGCTCTCTTTTTCGTATTTTTTTTTGTATTTCTAAACATCCTGGTTCTTTCATTTTTACACAAATCTCAAACAAAATGATAAAACATAACTCCAGGTATATAGCACTATACAATATGATAAATCAAATCTATTTTTGTTACAGTGTGTCTTTTTGTCCTTCTAAAAGGTTATTTTTAACTCAAAACATGTTACTGTAAAACATTTTTCATTCATGCATTTAATTTTTACAAGTCATAATTTCTTAATGTTTTAATTCATGATAAATTCACAACTTAGATTTGTTTTCTATTGATGTCAATAAGAAATATCAATATGGAGCATATGCCATTCACATATAAATCTATTATTGAGCATAAGTGGAAATATTGATTAACAAGTAAAATGAGCATGTTGTACATTACTTTTTCCGCTGTTATTATGTAGGTTCTTGAGGTGAAGCAGTTTATTGATATTCACGTTTGCAAAAAGAGTCTTTTTAACTGTTTAGTTAAACATGAAGTTAGGTACTCATGAACTATTGGTTAATTTATGTTTGACTTTTGACTTCCATATAAATATATTGTATAGTCAAGGATAGGTTATTAAAACAAAGATTAAACAGCCCTTTATAACTGTCCCATAACTTGATCAATAGAAGAATTAGCATATTTCACTAAGAATGATCCTGTGTGTCAGAACAAGACAAATAATATCTCAATCAAGGAAGCTAGAATTTAGTATTAAAAAGCATCATACCAATGATACTTGTTCATAGTGACATAGTCTTTAGAAGATACAGGTCTGAATGAAAATATTCATTTTCTAAAAAATAGAAATAATCTTGAAGTTCTAAAAATAAGAATTGTGGTCTTCTAGGCTAAACTAGGACACTAGTTACATTAAAGATTTTTCTTTCATAATAACCTAGATGTCAGTTGTTAGTTACCAGTTTCACCACCAGGTGGCTAACAGATAACAGGGCAGGCACACAAAATGAATATACAATTTTTTAAAACGCACATTTATTTGTAATTTTGGATGTAGATTTCAAATATGATAACATTTATGTCCAAATTTTGAATGTAAACACGAAAATCAGGATTGTTTTTCTGACATCTCATCATTTGCTTAAATTAGACTAAGTACTTCTACTCACATTTGATTTCTAGAAAAAGTAAGTACAGTATATATATGAAAAATAAATTCTATTTTTAGATATACCAGGAATTTGGTTGATACTGGCAATGATAAATACAACCTGATTGCGTTATGTTGGAGTGAGGGGCAAGGAAGTGGTATCCATTCTCACGCTGACTCACACTGTTTTGTAAAAGTCCTCGATGGTGACCTTCGAGAGACAATGTATGACTGGCCAAAACCTGATGAAGAGGGAGAAATGAAACAGAAAGAAATCAATACATATGGAAAAAATGGAGTCACTTATATAAATGGTAAGTATTTCTCATGCGTGTCCTTGATAATTAAAATGAGTCAAACTCTCTTGTCTAACTAAAACCTGAAACTCTTTTCTGTGTATACTAACCTAAAATGTTGCAGAGATTTCTTTTCAACTTTAAACAGAACCTTAGTGCAAAGCGTATTGAACTCAAGAACTCATTCAGTTTGACATCATTTTTTCCTTTAATTACTAGAAGACATTATTACCACCTTGCCGGGCCAGTTCTAGGGGTTTTAGTGCTAGTTTAGAAGGCGTTCATTTTACTATATCGACCTGAGCAATAAGTGACATCATAGTGGTGGTCAAGAATGCATTTCAGACCGGTCGAGAATGCATTAACGACCAGCAATTTTCCCAAAGGCCCTAGGTCCAATATTTCACTATATTGCCCTTCTAAATGACGTTATTGTACTATTCATGACATGTATGGCTTTAAATGTTAAGAAGTTCTTAAACAAAATCACTTCTAGACAAGTGGTCCTTACGTTCTGTGTAAAAAATATTTAGGGCGTGTCAACTTAAAATTAAAGAAGAGATTTTCAGAAGGATTTAATCATAGAGAAAATTGAAAAAAAATATTCAACTGGTTTTGTAATTCTTCAAAGCTCCTTACTTAATGCTATATGCAAAATTGAGAGTTGATGACATAACTTCCTGTGTGAAATCATTAAAGATGACAACCTTCTGGAAATTTAGCACTACATTTTTAAGTGACCAATATTGTCCATATAAAAACATTTTTATGTGTTTTGCTGAACATGGAAAGTATATGGTTATAGCTACCATATTAGGAGAAAGATAATCTGGCAAGGAATGTCCCTTTAAGAAGTGAATTGATTTGCAATACTCCTATTGTATTGTATTGTATTCTTTATTTACCTCTTATATAAGAGAGTTACAATTGTACATTAATTGGAAGTTAATACATAAATAAAAAAATGGATAAATTATTTGCTCATGTTTATGAAATGATCGAAGTTGCGAGCGTTGCTTGTCTCTTGATATACATTGAGTGAATTATTAAGACAGCTTGCAATGCAAGATCGTCGTTTGTACAATTTAAGATCAGATTGATGCGATCTTTAACACTACTTGTATCGTTATATTTATAGATTTCGTAAAGTGCTAACCTTTCTTCAACATACAACTCGCAATGGCAGAGAAAATGTTCCATTGATTCAATTTCACGATAAGAGTTCAGGTGGTAATTTACATAAATATCTCCCATGATGCATCGCTTTGGAAGGGACACATTTTCATTGGCCCGCCGAACAAGTCGATTACCCTGAACGTTTCTCACCTTCTGATCTTCCATCCTGCGATCACAGGGCTTCAAAATCCAGAATATCTTCTTTCTTTTTACACCCTGCTATAAGCAGTTAGCATTTCCCTGATTAAGAACTCGCAATTTGATTCGCTGTCCCAACATTGCGACAGCAATCATGTGTACATCATCGGTGCATAATTAGATCACATGACTCAGTTTAATTGGGCGCTTCCAAATTGGTTATAGTAGGGGGGAAGAAGGAGGTAGGGATTCTGGACACCTGCGTCGGAGGATGCTGATCTTCCTTCAGCCCTCAAGCATAGTTATATGATCCAATCTATTCAATAATCAGAAAGATTATTGGAGATTCAAAGTAACATTTATTTATATTTTTACATGTTTCTTCAGATTTGGGGGTTATACTTCAAGAAGCCTTGTTGTATATCTTAATTACATACATATCTATCGTTTGTGCAAATGCAACTCTACAAAAAATGTTTAATAGAGTCGCATTGTGGCATTGAAAATAGCACTCCTGTGTAATCCAATGGGAAAGAACCCGGATGTAGATTTACGTAGATTTTATTTATTCCTCTTCACCCAATTTAGGGTATTAGAGTCTCACGCAGTACAAATTTTAGCAACAGTAATTATCCCATCGAACGAAGTTTGGAGGGATATAGCGAACACCTCCGTCCGTCCGTCCGTCCGTCCGTCCGTCCGGGCAATAACTCAAATACTGTTGGACCGATTTTGTTCATATTTTGTACACACATACCCTATGGGAGTAGAAGTTCTGCTTGAAAGCCGATTTTCAAAATGGCCGCTCATTTCAAAATGGCGGCCATTTTAGTGACGATTTTACAGTAATTTAGGTGCAATATGTAAAACTGTAGATATTAAAGAAGCGCATGGCAGCCATCTTGAAAAATCGCGGCCTTTACTCGTCATTTTACGATTTTGGCTGTAACTCAAAAAATAGTGGAGCGATTTTGTTCATATTTGGTATGTGAATACTATGAGCATGGCACACTGTCCTATGACACTTTTGGTAGAAGGCGGCCATTTTGAAAAATGGCGGCCATTTTAACATATTTTACTATAACTCGAAAAGTAGTGGAGCAATTTTGTTCATATTTGGTATGTGAATACTATAAGCATGGCACACTGTCCTATGACACTTTTGGTAGAAGGCGGCCATTTTGAAAACAATTTTGAAAAATGGCCGCCATTTGGCCTTTCTGGTGTGTTGTTTTATGATATTTGCGCTTCGTTTGTAAAAATGCCAGCCATTTCTGTTCGATGGGATTCGCTACGCTTTGGCGTTGCCGTTGTTCTTGTTAAAAATAATGTAACAAACATATATACAGTCTCTTATTATTTTATAAAAGCAATTCTAACCGCTAATCTATTGGAAACCAACCCTTGCATAATCTACCTAATATTAGTAACATTTGTCACATTAGTAACATTAAATTTTGAGCATATATAAATGGTAGATACATTGGTAACAGCTGCCGCTTAGTGTTACATATTTTTGAGTATTTTAAAAATAATGACAAAGGGCAAGGATCAATTCTATTTTTAGATTTTACGAAAGCGTTTGATTCTATTGAATGGAACTTCATGTTTGAAACTTTAAAAAAATTCAATTTTAACGATAACATCATCAGATGGCTTAAATTATTATATACAAATCCATTTATTAACATTAAACAAAACGGATGGCTATCACATAATATTCCAATGGAACGCTCATGTCGGCAGGGCTGCCCCGTTTCTGCAATTTCATTCATATTATGCTGTGAAGTTATGTCTTTGAAAATAGTTCAAAATAAAAAAATAAAGGGTATAGAAATTGATAACATAGAATATAAAATTTCACAATCAGCAGATGACACATCATTATTTATCAAAGATAAAGCATCCATAAGTGAAGCATTAAAAACTATAAAGCAATTCTCGAAATATTCGGGACTTCAACTAAATTTAAGTAAAACAGAAGGAATATGGCTTGGAACCAATCGTACTTTTGAAAAAAAATTTGAAAATATTAATTTTACAGATGAACCTGTAAGATATTTAGGCATATTTATAGGTCACAATGAAGATAAATGTTATGATTTAAATTGGAATGAGAAAATAAATGACCTTGAAAAAATTCTTGATTCTTGGAAAAAAAGACACCTTACCTTATTTGGAAAAATCACTGTTATAAAATCTTTAGCTATATCAAAACTTATCTACTCAGCATCAATTTTATCTTATAAAGAAGAAATTATAAAGCGAATAAACAACTTGATATTCAACTTTTTATGGAATGGCAAGAAAGACAAGATTAGGCGAACTATTATGATAAACAATATAGACAATGGGGGTCTAAATATGCTGGATTTAGAATCACAGCTAAATGCTCTTAAAGCTGTATGGATTACCCGTATATACGACAAAAACAATATGTTTAACAAAATTCCATACTTTTATTTTGACAAACTTGCTCCAAGTTTGGATATTTTGTTAAAAATGAATGTATTTTCTAAAGACCAGCTTGAGGGATTACCTATTTTCTACAAACAAGTTTTGAAAGCATTCAATAGCTGTAAAGATCTTGATGAAATAAAAAATCTGAAACACCATGAAATAGTCCAGCAAACCATATGGAATAACAGATTATTTCAATTAAAAGGCAAACCACTTTTCTTTAAATCTTGGATAGATAGTGGTATTATTTATGTCAAAGATCTTATCATTCGAAATGATTTTTTAAATGTAAACTATATTCTAGAAAAATTGAGGAATAAAATAAATTGGATTTCAGAATATTTTCAAGTCTCAATTGCAATGAAATCAATAAAAAAAATCATTAACATAGAACAAGCAAACTTCACAAATATATCAAGAAAACTCAATTTCAAAGTAAAAAATGTTCAATTAGATTTTAGAGGCCAAAAATCCAATTTCTTTTATAACATATTGAAGAATAAAAAATCTGAAAAATGGTTTGTCTCAAAAAAATGGGAAAAAGATTTCTGTATAACAAATCAATGTAAAATAGATGAAATAAATTGGCAGAATTTTTTTGTTAGCAAGATCATCAAGATTAAAGACAAAAAAGTTGCCAATTTTAATTTCAAACTAATTAATAACATACTTCCTGGGTTAACTGATTTATTTATCTATGGTATAACAAATTATTATCATTGTAGTATTTGCAATCACTTATGTGATTTGAAACATATTCTTTTTGAATGTTGTTTGTCAAAGGATATATGGAAATTTATATACAACACATGTGGTCTCAATATTTCGTATAGAAAAATAATAATTGGTTATAATGGCCAAGACTCTCAAACTAATTTTCTGAATTATTTTACAAGTATAGTTGCTTACAGCATTTACAAATCCTACATTTTAGAACTGAATAGTAAAGAACAAAGAACATTTGAAAAGATACTTTTTATGTTAAAATATGAAATTAATTGTAGAAAAAATGTGTATTATTGTTCCAAATGGAATTTATTATCCAAACTACTGCAATGAGATTATGTAAACCTGTTTTTATAAATCATGTACTGTCTATATATTTAGTAAATGAATGAAATAAAGACTATTTTAAAAGAAAAAAAAACATTAAATTTTGAAATTTTCGACTTCGACACAATAAGAACCAATCTCTACACCATAGCTAAAAACTTTTTAAATAAATACAGGATTTACCACTAATG